AAGTATCGTTTAGCTGAATTAGGATATGTGGCCGTTGGTGAATCGCATCCTATTCCTCATGAACTACCACTATCGTTACCTCGATCACTACAAGCACAAGCATCTGATCTACAAATGGGTCGTGAGATAGCACTCTTACTTGCCCGTACGGGAAAGGTTTATTATGCGGGTAATGGAACCCGTGTTGGATTGCAGGTAATCGATAAACCTGTGAACTGAATAATTCAGTTTTCTTGTGGTTATCCATTAGTTACAGTTCGAAGATTTTCCTACACGCCATTTATGTCTTATTGATCACATTTATTTATGCCTAATTTATTCCGAGAAATGGGTCGTGCAGCGTTAAGAATTTGTCCCATAAAACATGCACGCACCATCAGTTTAATTCGGAACGCCGATAATCATTGTAATTGATTTTTTTAAGGATACACGATGCACATGGATGGAGTTGGTTCTTCCCGAAGCGATCGTTTCACTGTCTGTGGGCGCAGACACTGAGACGATTGTGCTCAGATCTGGTTCGGGTCATGTTTGGATCGCCGGCCTTGGACCTGAAACGCTTTGTCAGGGCAGTCCAGCAACTGGCCGTTTCCAACGACAAGAAGCTGGCTCGTCAGCAGCAAAGCTGAGAAAGTTGCAAACGGCTAATCGGTATATCATATGTTCAGTGCGCTTATTCCATCCACCATCCAACTCATTATCAATCTGACGATGAGATAAACTGGATGGAATTCTCGAATGGAAAACTTGAATTGCATTCCTAACAGGATATAAGTATTTTTACACTGATGAAGAAATCCTATTTGCTGGATGAAATTCACCCAAGTTTAAGTGAAGAGATTTCACTCAAAGACATAGACTATCCATCGAACAGGCTTAATTAATGCGCTTATTTTAGAACAGAGCTAATCGATGGTGTACATCTGAAGTTCTGTGATTTGTTTAGTGATTTTTTGCCTTTACCCGTACTGTGGCAATATTCAGGCGTAAGTGTGTAGCAGTGGCCGTCTCTTCCGGTTGTATAGCGTACGTTACGGATAACGGGAAGGCGTACATTTATGGTCGACATGCGATGCAGTGTCATCCGGAAACAGGTCATATTCTTGGCCTGGATAATGTGCATCTGGCATCGATCTCGCTTGGCAAGACACATGCGGCTGCTGTCACTCGACACGGACATCTCTACACTTGGGGTTTGAACAATCTGAATCAATGCGGGCGAGCTGAAGTGAGTATCACTGAGCTATATGTCAGCTATATGTGTCGTTTTTCGGATCTTTCTTAAGGGATTACCCATGCAGTTATCTCGCAATAAATGATACATGCATTTGCTCATTTGTATGAAATAGAAAGTAATTGTACTGAAGAAAATGCTTTTGATGGTTCAAATACAGTGAAGGTTTGCCGTCATTTGCTTTGAATGTGCTCAGTAGAGAAACGAAATTTGAAGCAGTTGGTCACTGAATTCACTTGATTGCAGTCGACAGGATCGTTACCACGCGGTGGTCTTACGAATGATGATTTAGCAAGTTCAGCTCG